CTGTGTCTCCCATGCCTAACATGCTGCCTGGCACATGGTAAGCTTCCTTAAATCTTTAATGGATAAAGGAACAGCCTGGTGAAGTCAATGCTCTAACCCTTTTCTCAAATGTAGCCCCAATAGAAATGTTTTGTCTCAACCATTCAATTTCATAGGAAGGCAATTTGAATGCATACAATTTGAAAAATAGTATACATTTTCCTCCCTTATGGAGATCCAAAACCAGATAAAGATATGTGGGTTCATCATTGAGAAGTAGATGTAAACATAGTGAATTAAAATGTCCTCATAGTAATAATTCAGATGCAAGCATCCTTAAAGCCACATTTTACCAGAAATAAAATAAGTCTAAAATATTTGTCATATCTTTTGCCAGAAGATCTACACTGAGATAATGTGTGGTAATTTGGGTGAAATTAAAATTCTGTAGGTAGGACTAAAGAAGTCACCTGGGGACTATCAATAGAAGTCTTTTATGCTCAACACGTCAGTCTCCAAAGGACCACAATGACATGACTATACCCATATATTGGCCATCCCGCAGTCCCATGGTGCATTGGTGGCTCTGTGTTGGGAATAAGCTTTCCAGAAACTATAGTGGGATGTGTTTGAAGTTGTCCCAGAACAATTTTCCATTAGTACTTTTGGCTACAATCTGTGTTAAAAAATGATCACTGTAAAATATATTAATTATGCAGATCCATTAGTCTGCAGAGTAGAGAGACTGAGGTGTTTCCATTTTCAACTCATCGCTATTTAAACATTTAAGGACACGTCAATGACCAAGAGCCTCTTCTAGAGGAGTTAATACTTCACGTGCCCTTCCTGGCTCAAACCCTCACTGATTCCATTTTCTTAGACAAATACAGAACAGAACACCAGCTCCATTTGTACACCAGTTGAGAATGTTTGATAACAAACTCAAGACTAGTCCAACACTCATTATATCTTAACACCAGTTGCTTTCTCCATACTTAATAGACCATTTTTAAGCTCTTAATGATCAGCACATCCACAGCCATAGAAAGGGTGAAGGAAACATAGGTAAAATGAAGTACAATCTCTACTATTTACTAGGACTTTGTATTTGGCCCACCACTCTGAAGAAAGCTGTGTTGTGTGGATGGAAACAGAGTATGATGCCATTTATAAAATGATCTCTAACTTTAGTTTTATGGGATAGCCTATGTTTGATGAGTACTGTGGCTGAGCACAACATATGTCATTAAAGTAAAAGTGCTCATTTTAGGACCTAATGCTTTTAGAACTCTCATAAATGCTTGTGGGAAAAGCAGATTGATTTAAATTCCTTGATTCTGACTGGCTCTAATATCACACTTTCTGATTAAACCACCCAATTATCTTTTTAAGAGCAAGAAAAAGGGGCAATAGAGAATCAATTGCCTCTGACAAATATGACTACCATTTTGGAAACATATTTGATTGTGTACTGCCTTTGAACTCTTTTTAATTAATTGGGTGTCTACACCGGGAGTAGCTCAAAAGCTATTGCTTCTTGGACAGAAAAGATCACGCCAAGAAATCAATATTGTGTCAACACTTCAAAACTTGCCTCTTAGTGCTCCCAATTCGTGGTGGGCTGTTTTTGCTTCTTTGGTCAATCGTCCTTCTGCTGTTTGGTGCAATGCAAGGCTGTCCTGAGCTAAGTCTATCACCCAGCAGCATTTCCATCGCTCAGAATCCTTTCCCTCACTGGAGGGAAGCAAAGGCAGCATTTCACAGACTCGCCTCCCGACTGGTGTGCCCTGCCTCTCTTCTGAAACTGCTAGCCGAGGAGAAATTGCAAACATATTGATTCTGTGTCAGTTGCATTTTCTCCCTATAAGACTCATCTGAATTTTATTTGTTTAAATGGATTTCAAATAGGGAGCTTGGTGCTCAGGTGCAAAAGAATGCATCGGGGGCTCTGGATTTCCACTTGGTCACGCTGCTCAGCACGCTCACCCGCAGCCATGCTCATCCTTGAACTCCCAGGTGCTGTCAGTGCTTTGGACTAGTCCACCTGAAGTGCCACCTGAGCCCTTCCAGCTAGTCCAACAGTGAAAGGAAATCAGGCTGGGGCGGGGGTTGGGGGGGGTGGTACAAGGAAGGTGAGAATTCTACAAAGTTCTCCACAAATATATCAATTCAGTTGCAACTGCTTTTTATATTTTGCATCAATGACAAACTAGATCCCTTGAGATATTGACATTTCTAAGTTATGGTCACCTCTTTATTTTTACTCTGTGTTCAACACATTGAAAGTTAAAGAGATGAATTTCTTTTCATCCATTGAAAAAGCTACCTTAATTTAGCCACTTCTGCATATATCTCTCCCCAGGCTGGCTCCCTTTGGTCATTGCCACATCTTTGTAGCTGCAAAGTTGAGGGGAGATAAAACACACATTCTCCAGTTTCAAACACATAATTAGCTTGGTGTCACAAAAGCAGTCTGAGAAGAAGGGGGTATGTAGTGTCAGCAGGGAGAAAAACTAACGAAGATCTGCTGTGCTACTGTAAGGCCCTGATGTCATCCCAACCTAGGCGTTGGCTGTAGATTGTAGATGAACTGACCCCCTGACAGAGGCAGAGATAAAACACATGGCTGGGGAGGAGCCTGCCTGGTTGAGTGTCACCGTCATCACTACGTTGCCTCAAGCATGCATACTACATACTTGCCATAGGCCTCCACTGTCCCATCTGTAAACCGGGAGGTAACGTTACTGCCCTCATAGAATGGTTGTGAAGATCAGAGGAAATAAGCCATGTAAATCCTGAGCACAGTGCCAGGCACATAGAAGGTACTTACTTAATGAACACGTGTCACTATTGCCATCTTCATTTTGCTAAAAATAATCAATAATCTCATTATGAAATAAAAATTCCCTTTATTATTCCCCCCACCGTGGCACAGAATTTTATTCCTTGGACCAGATTACAGCAGTGTTTTGGCTATGACGTTCTGGACTTTCCCGAAGTGATGCTTTTAAAGGCAGCTGTGCACACTCACCCTAAGTCAAACTATGGGTCCTGACCTTTTTCAGATACAAATGTCCCATTGTCCTTCCTGTGTCACTGGGTCTGAACACACTGGGAGCAATAACACTTTTGTGAGCTGGCGACCTGTTCACCCATAGGATGTCATCCTCACATTTTCATTAATTTATGTTACTGAACAGCCTCGGTTGATCATAAACTCCCTCACGACTCTGAACATAACCTGTTACAATAGCCGTGAAAGGAGAATGATGACAAAAACATTAAGGGATGTTGGGGAGGGAGAGGGATGCTTACTGCTGTTGAGTTTACTCTGCAGTCATTGCCAACAGCCAAACGATAAAAGTTTCATTTGTTTTTCCAACAAACTCTCTGCTAAGGAACTCTTTGTTCCGGGAGGGTTTATGGCATTGAATGCTGTTAGAGGAACATGCTTATTGTGACACAGAATGAGGCAACATAATAAGTTCCTGTGGGTTTGGAGGATTTGTCTATTTTTGAGGCTGAACTAGATTAATCAAAATTCAGAATTCTGTTTGTCAGAACGAAGAGTTTCATTCCAGGGTGCAAAGAATGCGTGAAGGGCAGGATGCCTGAAAGCAAGCAGACACAGGATCATGGGAGCATTGGGAAGCTCATTACTGTCTCCAGGAGCTGCCCTTAGCCCGCCTCAGGATCTGAAGAATTGTTATTCTGGAAAAGATTCCATGCCCGATAGATCTAGCCATGCGTGATGTTCCCAACTTTCAAAATCTCCGAAAAATACAGTCATTTCTCCTCTTACTTCTCATCAACGATGCCTTTAACTCTCATTATAAAGAAATATATAATATGTAAGGTGTCCCAAAAATATATACACACTTTGAACAATTATTAATTCCAATGTTTCTTTCTTTTCAGATTTAACCCATTGGAAGTAATAATTATTCAAAGTATGTATACATTTTTGGGACACTCTGTATATTCTTTAGTTCATTTCATGAAAAAGATTATGCAGATTTGTTGATTGTGCGACAAAAGAAGACATTAAAGCAAGTATCAGTTTGTTTCCATTAGAGCAATTACTTAATCATCGTATCATCTTTGTCTAGGATAATTATATTAGTAGACTGACTCCCAGACTTCTGAATTAACAACAAAGAACTCAGACCCTCTCAATACTGTCTAGAAAAGAAGCACTAGCAGTTAACCAGGTAATGCACTTAAAAATCATCACTAGCAGTGGTGACGCGATAGTCCTTTTGCACTGTTTTGAATTTAATCACAGCAACTTTTCTCTTCATCAGCTTCCCATACAGAAACACGAGAGCCAGGGCTGGGTATCTGACAGATGGTGACACAAATGCAAAGAAAGGCAGAGAAGTGGCAGCCACTGGAGACACTGGAGATTGCATCTCTTCACGGAATGCTAGCGATTGACTTTAATGATCTCAATACTGCTCATAAATTCCAGTCTTTTAAAGGTGCACGCACCCAGGCTCAGAGAAGTCTCACTCCTTCATCCTACCGTGGGAGAGGACCTCATGGGATCAGCACCCCCCTGTCGGCACAGCACACAGTGTTTGGCACTACCTATGGAGTTTAAGAAATTCCTGCTCTGACACCGACGAAGAAACTTTAATGGAAACAGTCAGCAGGTTGTAGCACAATGAACATACTCAGGACGCTAAACTCTCCAAAGGGAGTGGGGAGAACGACATCACATTTTTATAAAGCCAAATGTAAGTTTGCTTCGTTTCCTTACTATGTTAAAGGAAAACCGTCACATCCTCCAACCACTAAGGTAGGCATCACACTACCACAGCACAGCCTCTCCAGTTTAAAAGAGGCATGAAAGAAAGCAAAGTGAACAAAAAAGACGTTATCACCAAAGATTTGAAAATGCTATTGGAAAGAAAAGTGACTGTTCAGCCCAAATGGATCTATGACACACACACACACACACACACACACACACACACACACACACACACAGCTGTAAATCAAGAGAGATAAGAACTTACCGGAGCAAATATCACCATACACATTTACAAAAGAATTGATAATCCAACTTCCCTCTCCTGAAAGAAAACAGAGGCTGTCTCATACTAAAAATAAAGCTTCTCCGTCCACAGCACCAGCCACTTGTCCCTCTTTTTTTATGAAGCAGAGGAGGGGAACAGGAAAATCAATGAGGAGGGAAAGTGAGATGCTATACCAATCAGGTAGCAGCTTCTGTCTTATTTGCAGAGAGATGGCAAAACGGTCATATTATTAGACAGTGACAACCACAGCCGAAGTACAGCAACCTGATACCTCCCTCTGGGGAAGGCTGCCTGCGTGTGGGGAGGAGGCTGCCCTCCGTCCGGGGGAGCGCCCACCCGGGCTCTGCTCCCCACCGCTGCTCTGCACAGAGGCTGCCTGTGAAGAGAGCCCACCTCCCCGTTTCTCTGTGAGCCCCTTCCTCCCTCAAACAGGCGCTTCAAAACAAACTGGGAGAGAAGAGAGCGCTGGGGTTCTGTGTGCTGGATGTGCGGGTGGGAAGTGGGGGTTTTATAAAATCCTTAGGAATCGATTTGCATAGATTAGGTCAATGTTTATATGTTTGTTTTTTAAAAATTGCTCTCGTTTTTATGGAGATGCCTGGATATTATACCTGATCCCCATTTGGGAAATGTGTACACCCCATGCATAACCTAGTTGGGGTGATGGTAAGGAAGAGGGGCTTTGGGGGCTCTGGCCACTGTGGAAGGAACAGATCACAACTGGGATGCTCGTGCCTTGCAGGAGTGTTACCGAGAGCCTTCTCCTGCAGAGTCTTAAACCTAACGGGTTTCCAGGTGTGATGTGACCCAGCTCTGCTGCAAATGGGCCTCCTCAGGAAGGAGCTGAGCTCGACTCACTCAAGGGGTTGACATCTGGCAGCCGAGCAACCTGGTTCTGAGGAACTGACGCTGAATGCAGGCAGAGGCTGCATAAGGCTACACGCTCTCCTCACACTGGCTTCCTGAGGGCAAGCCCTCACCTTATGCCACAGCCAAGGAGGAAGAATCCTGTGCGCCTCTTCTCCCGTGGCCCCCACTTCTAGACCCCACTGCATACAGGAATAGCACTGGGTGGGCTCAGAAGTGTCTGTTTTGTCTTCCAGGCAGTTGGTGATGGCCCAGCTGAAAGCTCACCTTGGCTGTTTTTTTGTTTGTGGTTATTAATTCAGCATCGGCCCTGAGTCTGTTTTGGGGACCCTCTCTTTGTCTCTAACATACACACACATACACCACCACCACCACCACCGCCCAATCATTATTATCACTGTCTCCCTTTCTTCCCTCTCCACACACATAGCAACCGATCAATGGAGGTGAAGGGGAGGGGATGAGTCAGACCAGCTGGGGTCTAACCCGGCTCTTCACTTACTAGCCATGTGACTTGGAAAGTCCCGTAAGGTCCCTGAGCCATAGTTTGTCCTCTGTGAAATGGGCACACTAACACCTCATAGAGCTGCTGGGGGGAGGTGTGGGGAACAAAAGAAAGATGACTAAGGCAGCACTTTCAAAGCCACACTGGCCACATGCACCTAGACTCCCTCCTCAGCTGCCTTCCTCCTGCTCCGGTTCCTCCTCCTCCTCCTCCTCCTCCTCCTCCTCCTCCTCCTCTTCCTCCTCCTCCTTCTCCTTCTCCTTCTCCTTCTCCTCCTCCTCCTCCCCCTGTGATCTGCTTGCTCCTTACACATAACCCTCCAGGGTGCTTCTAGAAGCGTCATACACCTCATACACACACACCTGCTGATTGAGAACTCACTGCATTTCAAGGAGAGAAGTTACTCAAGGAAGTAAACTAAGGCCCTCGAGTCAAAAAGTTTGCCCATCCCTGGCTTAGAACCACCAGGCCTTGCCACACTCAGGAAGCACTTGCTGAGTAAATGCCCGAAGGACTGGCTGAGGCCCTGCTCCGGCCCAGGGCTGATGAGGAGCAGTGTCAAGGCAGAGGCAGAGGTGCTGTCCCAGCCACGCACCCACAGGGGGCCATATTAATAGTTTCTCCAGGGCGGAGAGTGACTCATGCTCCTCAGCCTTGAATATTAAGAGCCCCATGTCAAGTAGAAGAAAAAAAGTTATGTCTTCCACATGATAACAGGGAACATTCCTGAACCTGTGCTCCGTGCCAGGTACTGTGCTAAGTGTGTTCATGTGTAATTAAGTGAATTACCTTAGGTGGGCCTCACAATATTAGCAAGAGTTGCTATTTTTACTCCAGTTTACCCAGGAGGGAACCAAGGCCCAAAGAGTGCAGCGACTTATCCAAAGGTACATAGTCGATAGTTGGTAAAACCAAGACGTGAACTTAGTTGGATGCCAGGCTCCAACATGCTGCCCACTCCGCTCCAGATGTCACATGATGGTACTTACACTTTCATGTGTCCAGCCTCCAGGGTACGAGTAATCCATCAAGGGATACACAGACGCTGCCATAGCCTGACAGCTCTCCCCACTGCGTGGATTCACACACAGAGACGGGAACCCCTGGGGTCGACCGAGGGCTCACCAGGCCCACATGCCCGGGCTCTGCCGCATTTCTATGGACTTGGACACGTTACTGAACCCCCTGAAGGTAGGGGGTGTGAGGTTCAGTCTTGGGATGTCAAGCAGTCTGCTCAGGGACCCTGAGGGCATCCCTTAATTTGTCCTTGACTCAGTTTTTCCCATGTTTAATTGAAGGGTTTCCACCGAATGATCTCTAAAGGACATTTTGGATCAACTTTGACTAAATAAGGTTCTAAGATTAGTTCGATTCTAATCTGCTGGTTGGATTAGCTTTTCCTGCCTCACATTTCATTCCAGATACAGTGTTAGCATCTCTACGTCTCCTGCTATCACCCCACCACTGTCATCTCCCACCCGCACCCTGAATTTACCCCAACAGGTCTCCCTGCATTTACCCTTATCTTATCCCTAGAAGTCATTTTCCATATATTATCTGAATTGAGCTGGTTAAAGTATAAATTAGACCATATCACTTATCTGTGAAATACATTTCAATAGCTGTCCAGTAGGTTTAAAGTACAACTCAAACTCCTTACCATGCCTTCAAAGCCTGACATGACCCGACTCCTATCTACCTTTTTGTTTTTATCTAATTCCAACCCTCCCTCCTTATTCTTAAGCCACATGGGCATTCTGTGCCTATGTACTTGCTTTTCCTTCTGCCCAAAACTGTTTCCTTTGATCTTAGCCTACTGTCTCTTCCTTTGTCATTGAATTCTCAGTGCTACTGTCTGCTCTTCCCAGACCACCTAACCTGCTAAAAACCTTTTTTCTGCCCCGTTAGTGTTAACTCCCTTTCACATTACACTGTGTTTAGTTGTTGTTGATGGTGGTGGTGCTGTGTGTGTGTGATGTGAGATTTTTGTACTTCTCATTGCCTGATATGTTCTTACTTATTCACTTGTTCATTTAATTATTGCTTATCTTCCTTCACTGGGAGATACCCTCTCAGAAAGTAGGAATATTGTTTGTTTTGCATAACACCATATCTTTAGTGTTGAAGACTATTTGGCACACAGTAGATGCTTAATCACATCTCATAAATGAAGGAATAAATCAACAGAAAACAAATTAGGCTTCAAACAAAGGCACAAAAACCTACGTTTATCACAGGAACTTAGCCTTGAAATGCAGGGCAGGTGAACAAGGGTGATTGATTCATTCGTATTAATGGACACAGACTATTTTCACTTCCTTATTCGGGGAATGTTCTTGAAATGCTGCATCATATTGATTTAAACGGAGGAGCTCCTGTTGTCGATCATACTGACCAAATACTGTACAGGAGCTTGGATTCCTCGGGTCCAGTTCACCTGGGCCCACATAGAACAGCTGATACTGGGACACTTGACTGTACATTTGTCATTACAGAGCAAATGGTCTTGTCAGCTAGCCACTTAGACCGTCTGACCTTCCAATTTATCAGACAGTTCAGAAAGGTGGCTACCACTCTCTAACATGCTATTGGAACTGACAAAAATAAGCAATATGCCATTATTTGATGGTTCTTGCTTGAAAAATGATATAACCTTGAATCTTAAAAATAGCATGTGTCTATTATTACTGGTAGATTATTAAAAATAGAAGTACAATGTTTTCTAAATTGAGTATTTACAGAGGTTCAGTAGATTAGAATAATCTATGAGTCTCTGCAAACCTCATTAGCAATGCTCATGTCCAGTATGGTCAGATCTTTAACTCTGACCTTTCAACTGAGCATGGCCTTCAGACAACTTCAAATGAGTTTTTTTCCCCTGTAGTGTAAAGCTCGTCTCCCCTTGAACACACCTCCTCCTGTAAATGCCATAGTTCCTTTCCCTTACAGCTTCTATTCCTAAACATGTGGCTTCTCACAAGGGGTCCTTTCAGGCCTGCCTGCTCAGGGGCTGAGCAGTGGGAGGCCCAGCTTTCTAAGCATTTGGCAAAGCCTGAGAGGAAAATTCCAGCGGCATGAGGTCACTCCATTGCTGTGGGGGAAGGGAAGTCATTGAAGACAAGAAGATTACTCTGGCCACACTAATAAATGACCAATGGAGTTAGCTAAGGTTCTTCCATTTTGCTGCAAAAACAATTTCAACTCTTTCAAGCTCTAGCAATAAGAGCACTTATGTCCAATCCACTCAGGCACAAGCTGCGTCTGTAACGGTGCCTTCCTGCTCTGGCTGAGCGCAGCTCTTAGCAGGGTGAAAATGCAATTTAGTTTGATTTGGGTGGGTAGGAGATATCGAGTCAGGGCAGAACTTTCGAGACCTCTTGTCTTCTATTTCCCACATAGGAGAAAAAACGTCTTTCTCCAACTCTATCTCTTTCCCTTTTCAAATTCATTGCACTACCTCTTGGTGCTTTACTTAAGTCCTGCCCCCTTTCATCTGTCCCTCTTTATACTCTGTCCGTTATTCAGGCTGGAATGTGCCAGCTCTTTCCTACCTGACTGTCCAACAGGTGGATGCGAGTTCCGCTTTGTCCTTTGCTACTTAGTAGTCTTGTCACGTTCACGTGCCCTCGCCTATAGAACTGGGTAGTCGGAAAGTAATGCCTACAGATTGCTAAATACATAGCAAACATTGACGAAGAACAGTAACAGTGATAATTCTAATCTTGATAGCGATGCTCTTCACCAGCTCATGTTTGCTTTACAGAGATAACGGGTGGCTCTTTCATTTCTCCTTTAGAGGGAAGAGTCTCTTGTGTCTTGGAAAAGAAAGGAAAACCCATGTCCTATTCAGAAAAATTTAGCAGTTTTTCCCACTGGAATATGAGGGGGTAGAGAAAAGACTGAATTG